GATGTTAATGAGACTTACTGTAGTTATCATTTCACAACATATATAAATATCGATTCATTGTTACACACCTGAAATATAATGTTGTATGTCAACTACACTTCAATTTTAAAAACTACAATGTTCACTGTTTTTTTCCCTTTATTTTAATTAATTAATTAAGTAATTAAATTTAAGTTTTTATTTAAATTCTAGTTAGTTAACATATAGTGTAGTATTGATTTCAGGAGAAGGACTTAGTATATAACTTAGTATATATAGAACTTACATATAGCACCCAGTGCTCACCACAACATGTGGTCTACCCTAATACCCACTTAGCCCATCCCCAACCCACCTCCTCTCCAGCAACCTTCAGTTTGTTCTCTATAGTTGAGTCTCTTATGGTTTGCACCCCTCTCTCTTTTTTCCCCTTACCCTATGTGCATGTTTTGTTTCTTAAATTCCACATATGAGTGAAATCATATCATATTTATCTTTCTGTGACTGACTTACCTTTCTTAGCATAATACACTCTAGTTTTATCCACGTTACCACAAATGGCAAGATCTCTTTTTTTTTTTTTTTTTTGAGATTATACCACATCTCCCCTATCCACCCATCAGTGAATGCTTGGGCTCTTTCCAAAATTTGGTTATTATTGATAATGTTGCCATAAATATCAGGGGGCATGTGCCCCTTCAAATCAGTATTTTTGTATCTTTTGGGTAAATACCTAGCAGTGCAATTGTTGGGTCATAGGGTAGCTCTATTTTTAACTTTTTGAGTAACCCCCATACTGTTTTCCAGAGTGGCTGCACAAGTTTGCATTCCCACCAACAGTGTAAGAGGGTTCCCCTTCCTCCACAACCTTGGCAACATCTGTTGTTTCCTGTGTTGTTAATTTTAGCTGTTCTGACAGGTGCGAGGTGGTATCTCATTGTGATTTTTATTTACATTTCCCTGATGATGAGTGATGCTGAGCATGTGTCTCTTAATCAACTGGATGTCTTCTTTGGAAAAACGTCTGTTCATGTCTTGTGCCCATTTTTAAAATAGGATTATTTGTTTTTTCAGTGTTGAGTTTGATAAGTTCTTTATAGATTTTGGATACTAACCCTTTATCAGATATGTCCTTGCAAATACCTTCTTCCATCCTGTAGTTTGCCTTTTAGTTTGTTGATTGTTCCCTTCATTATGCAGAAGCTTTTCATCTTGACGAAATCCCAATAGTTCATTTTTGCTTCTGTTTTCCTTACCTCAGGAGATGTCTGCTAAGTTGCTTTGCCCAATGTCAAAGAGGTTGCTGCCTATGTTCTCCTCTTAGATTTTGATGGTTTCCTGTCTCACATTTAGGCCTTTCACCCATTTTGAATTTATTTTTGTGTATGGTATAAGAAAGTGGTCCAGTTTCATTCTTCTGCATGTTGCTGTCCAATTTTCCCAACACCACTTGTTGAAGAGACTGTCTTCCTTCCACTGGATATCTTTCCTGCTTTGTCAAAAATTAGTTGGCCATAGAGTTGTGGATCCATTTCTGGACTCTCTATTCTGTTCCATTGATCTATGTCTCTTTTTTGTGCCAGTACCATACTGTCTTGATGACTACAGTTTTAATAGAGATTGAAGTCAGGAACTGTGATGCTTCCAGTGTTGCTTTTCTTTTTCAAGATTGCTTTGGCTATTCAGGGTCTTTCGTAGTTATATACAAAGTTTAGGATTGGTTGCTCTAGCTATCTGAAAAAATGTTGTTGGTATTTTGATAGGGAATGCATTAAATGTATAGATTGTTTTGGGCAAAGTGTAGACACTTTAACAATATTTGTTCTTCCAATCATTGAACATAGAATGTTTTTTCCTTTTCTTTATGTCATTTTCAGTTTATTTTATAACAGTTCTAAATTTTTCAAAATACAGATCTTTTATATCTTGGTTAGGTTTATTTGTTTTCACGTTATGCTACTTCCAAATTACAATTTAACTCTAAAAACAAACTAAAAATGGCCAATCCTTAGTTTTAAGAGAGTCTGACTTATATCTGCTCTATAACTCTTTAAAGAGACTCTCCCACCCATGTGGAAGAGACATTTAAATGCCAAGGAGTCTAGGGGGTGCCTGGGTGGCTCAGTCTGCTAAATGTCTGCCTTGAGTTCAGGTCATGATCCCAGGATCATGGAATCAAGTCCTGTGTTAGGTTACCTGTCCCACAGGGAGTCTGCTTCTCCCTCTGCCACTCCTCCCACTTGTTCTTTTAATCTCTCTCTCTCTCAAATAAATAAATAGAATCTTAAAAAAACAAATATCAAGGAGTCTAGTTGCAAGAACTCATTTTCTTCCCTTCTTTATGTATGGGATCTGCACAAACAGATTACCCCATCCTCAGTCTGATCAGGAGTAAATCCTATGCAATCCATATAAATGGAATTACTAGCTCTACTTCCCAGGGCACTATCCTGTTTTCAGCAGAAAAACCAGAAAAAATTAATCTATACAAAACTCTCCAATATTTAACAAAGCTACATCAGAATCTCAAACTGAAGCATAAATAATGAAATAAATTAATATATTAGTTATTCAACTCTTCCCATTTTGAAAATAGACAATATCTAGTCTGGTCAAATATAATATTAGTTGTACTAAGTTAGTGAAAGGATATCATAGCATCACCATTGTCCCTGGACAAGATCCTTAATCCTGCGACATTGTTCCCATCTCTGATAATTGTCCCTCACTCCATTCTTTTTTTTTTGAATTTTATTTATTTATTTGACAGAGAGAGATCACAAGTAGACAGAGAGGCAGGCAGAGAGACAGAGAGAGGGAAGCAGGCTCCCTGTTGAGCAGAGAGCCTGATGCGGGACTTGATCCCAGGACCCTGAGATCATGACCTGAGCCAAAGGCAGAGGCTTAACCCACTGAGCCACCCAGGCGCCCCCCTCACTCCATTCTTATTTATTTATTTATTATTTCAAAAGAAGTTTATTAACATATAATATATTATTTGCCCCAGGGGTGCATGTCTGTGAATCATCAGGCTTACACATTTCACAGTACTCACCATAGCATATACCCTCCCCAATGTCCATAACCCAGACACCTGATCCCTCCCCCCACCCCCCAGCAACCCTCAGTATGTTTCATGAGATTAAGAATCCCTTATGGTTTGTCTTCCTCCTGATCCCATCTTGTTTCTTTTTTCCTTCCTTACCCCGCACAACTTCTCACAACCTTTTTTCCTACCCCTACCCCACACTGCCTCTCAAATTCCTCATATCAGAGAGATTATATAATTGTCTTTCTCTGGTTGACTTATTTGGCTTAGCATAATATCCTCTAGTTCCATCCACGTCATTGCAAAAGGCAAGATTTCATTTTTTGATGGCTGTGTAGTATTCCATCATATATATATATATATATATATATATATATATCACATCCTCTTTATCCATTCATCTGTTGATGGATATCCATGTTCTTTCCATAGTTTGGCTATTGTGGATATTGCTGATATAAACATTCAGGTGCACATGCCCCTTCGGATCACTACATTTGTAACTAAGAATACTTATTTTTAGTTAACTATGATATTATATGTGTGGTATAAGAAAGTGGTCCAGTTTCATTCTATTGCATGTAGCTGTCCAGCTTTCCCACCATCATTCATTGAAGAGACTGTCTTTTTTCCACCGGATATTTTTTCCTGCTTTATCGAAGATTAGTTGACCATAGAGTTGAGGGTCTGTTTCTGGGCTCTCTATTCTGTTCCATTGATCTATGTGTCTGTTTTTGTGCCAATACCATACTTCCTTGATGATGACAGCTTTGTAATAGAGCTTGAAGTCTGGAATTGTGATGCCACCAACTTTGGTTTTCTTTTTCAACATTCCTCTGGCTATTTAGGTTCTTTTCTGGTTCCATATAAATTTTAGGATTCTTTGTTCCATTTCTTTGAAAAAAATTGATGGTATTTTGATAGGGATTGCATTAAATGTGAAGATTGCTTTAGGTAGCACAGACATTTTCACCATATTTGTTCTTCCAGTACACGAGCACATAGCGTTTTTCCATTTCTTTGTGTCTTCCTTAATTTATTTTATGAGTATTTGATAGTTTTCTGAGTAGAGATTCTTTCCCTCTTTGGTTACATTTATTCCTACATAACTTATGTTTTTTGGTGCAATTGTAAATGGGATTGGCTTCTTAATTTCCCTTTCTTCTGTCTTGCTGTTGGTGTATAGGGATGCAACCGATTTTAGTGTGTTGATTTTATATCCTGACTCTTTACTGAATGCCTGTATGAGTTCTAGCAGTTATGGAGCAGAGTCTTCTGGGTTTTCCACATAAAGTATCATATCTTCTGCAAAGAGTGAGAGTTTGGCTTCTTTGTCGATTTGGATGCCTTTAATTTCTTTTTGTTGTCTGATTGCTCCCTCCCTCCATTCTTATTGTTATTATTCTAGCTTAAGTTTTTTTTTTATTTTTCAGCGTAACAGTATTCATTGTTTTTGCACCACACCCAATGCTCCATGCAATCTGTGCCCTCCCTAATACCCACCACCTGGTTCCCCCAACCTCCTACCCCCCGCCCCTTCAAAACCCTCAGCTTGTATTTCAGAGTCCATAGTCTCTCATGGTTCACCTCCCCTTCCAATTTCCCTCAACTCCCTTCTCCTCTCCATCTCCCCTTGTCCTCCATGCTATTTGTTATGCTCCACAAATAAGTGAAAC